TCGGATTTTGTCAACATCAATAAAATGCCAAATAATCATACTTGACTCATTAAATATCGAAATTAGAAGAAAAGTGCACTATTTTTAATTATAGGAAATGCGTTTTTCTAAGGTACATAAGCTTTTGGGATTGACTATATAGCCAATACATCCTTAAAGACTGGCGTTTTATTAAAATAACATTCGATGATTATTTTCGCGTTTTCATCTTTAGTGCTAATAAAAATTTAACTGCTGACCAGTGAAACATTTGTTTCTTACTCTAAGGAAGTCAAGATATTCTGATCACATTAGTGAATACGAAATAAGAAAAAAAATTCATTAGGCGTGAATAGAAGCGAACATGTGGGATAAAAAGCAAAACGGTCCGAGCCATTGAATGAACTTATTGTGCACGGTTAAATTGGCTCGTTGAACGTTGAATGGGTCCTACGATGGTGAATTTAATTAAAGCGATACGTACACGATTAGCCGTGTTGTGTTGCGAGCATCGAAGCGCGACAGCTGCGAGCCCCTCGGATACTAACAATAAGTATAAAACGCGGAAAGTGTCCTCTCGCCGGGGCGATATCTACGTAATGTCCCAACGCTAAAAAAGACACTATTTCTCATCCTCTAATTGCGCTGTCACGCCACTTCATTAACACAGATAACGTTCGCAATTCCAGCGCGACGTAAATCGCACGAATTTAAACCCTGATTCACTGTTCCTCGCGTTACATTAATTACCGTGTAATCAGATGTTACACTGCGACTAATCTGAAAAATGCAAACGACTTCTAATTGATCCACGGCTTCTCGAATTTACTGGGAACAATTTTTATCTACTACATAGTTTCGCTAATTAAGAGATTAATTGGCCATGGTGTACACGCGTGCGATCGCCAATTTATTGATTGAGAAATGGTCCAGCCGAGAACTCGAGATGATAGCCGTGCATCTTCGTTTTAATGAACGTCGGTCACAATTGACCCGTCGACGCTGTTTAACCCTTCACGTTTTAATAACCGGTCATAATAACTAGTTCGGGTCATCCGTTAAATAACTACCAGATGGAACAATGAAAAATCTTCCAAGATCGACATCTAATCTTATATACCGAACATGATTTGAGAGAAAAAAACAGAATGGAGACACTAAACTAAATATGTTATTTATTTTCTCATTGTCCACGTGTATTGAAACTTGAAGAATAATATTCTTAATGATTCTTTCAATCATATTTAATAACAAACGTACGCAGTCTGGACTTGATCCAAACGGAATTCAAGGAGGGGAGAAACGAAGGGAAATCGAAGTTGTATATGAACGAGTAAGAATGAAATGGAGCCTGTATATAAATAGTGAATGCGTGCTGTATTTATATGTTATACACGTTAATATAAATATATATATATATAGAGATAAGTATATACATAACGCAGTGACTACAAAAGGTATTTGCTTTGCATACTATTCGTAAAACTATGAAAGTGATCGACTAATATTTAAAAAAGTGTTTAATATCATAGTTTCTCTTATATGTATTATTTACGGACAGTTAATTATAATGTTACTACCTCGTTGAAGTTTTAGAATAATGCTGATTTGATCTGCAGAGGAAATGACGGCGTTGCGTGAATGAAATATAATGAAACGGAAACTGTTGATTGAAAATGATTCTAAAAATCGACGTGACATGCGGGTACTTTTTGTAGCACGCGCGAATATAAATATTAACATTATCGACCTAAGAGCAAACGCCGAGAAAGTAAAACGCATTGTTGATCAGGTATGACTAATTAACCGTAACGTAAAATTATCCGGCTGATTTCCGTGGAAATGACCGTGAGGTACCGTAGGAACCAGGTCCGAGAGGCAGTTTAATCTAAACCGGCTGTACGTCGGTGACAAGGTCTGTCTGTCTGTCTGTCTGCCTACACGCACATGCTGAACGCATCCACGTATATCTAATGTATGTATGTACATTTAACCGTTCGTGCCAATTGTGTTTTGAAGAAGGGAACTCGAAACTCGCTTCGCAACCAACAATTTTCCGGCTGTCCCATTTCATGATCCGGCACCGCGACCGAACTCGTACCGACTTACCCTTTTCAACCGCGAAACGGAAAGCCACGGTTAATCCTTCGCGCGACGGGAAACGTTTTTCCGCCTCTTAAATAATTCACATAGGTTCCTTTCGCCGCAAGACAAATTCCACGCGACGTTTTAATGCAAAATCTATGATGACAAAGTGGTCACTTCTATTTTGCACAGACAGATTTCCCTGAGTTTTTTAAAATCCACGGAAGATCAGTTAATTTCTGTCTGCGATCGTAGTAGAGACGTACGAAAATAAATGTTTCGGAATTTCGTGCACAATTAGGCCATTACGATTTCCGTCCCATCCCGTTTATGCGAGTAAATAGCGAATCGTTTATTTCTTAATGGAACCACGTCTCGCTTAAACGAGCAAAGTTTCCATCGAAACTAATTAAACAAGAAATCAGAGGTATTAAGCGTAGTGACGACAAGAAAATATAAACAGAGTTATCGATCCTCTTTTCTTCATTCTCCTACTGCTTTCCGCTGAAAAGTGAAATTAATTTATACTTTATCCGCATTATTTTGTATAATTCAAATGTAACAATAAAACTATTACATTTTTATCTGAATGTGTATTGTAGACGATGAAAGTAATACGAAGTTTTTATGCTTGAATAATACGTGAATTAACAAATGCCAGTGATTATATAAAAAGTACCGTCGGTATTTCGAACCTCTGGCAAAAGTTATACTAAAAACGAGGCAAATTATTTATTTCATGAGAATAAAACGAAACTTTAATTGAGTGACAAATATATTTTGTCGAAATAAAGCATGAAACTTATTATTATTTCAGCTCCCTGGTGATGTCCATTACAAGCAATCTACTCTCATTGTCAGTGTTTGCCTTGCGAAACTGGAGACGAGTCCAGCGTAGAATTCCACGGATCGATCCACGACTATATACGTTCGATATTAACACCGACGAACGTCGCTCGCTCGACCATCCTTCTTTTACATTTTGAAACGCGAACTTGTGTCACGGACGCTTGAGCCGAGATAATGCGAGCAGATCCATTCTGTCCCATTTAAATAACGTGCCTCGAGGAACGTCCGTCGCGTTGCTAAAGAATAAAGTATAAATGTACCCTTTATATCTCGTGAAAACCGGTGAGATACAAGTTTATATGAAAGATCGTGCGGATGTTCGCTTTTAAAAATTATTTCATCCTGTAACGCGTTTCATTTTACAGCTTTTAGTTGAGAGAAATAAAGGAAGTTGAAACAGGAGAATAAAATCTCCGGGCGACGAGTTCATTAAATTTCAAGATGCAAAATTACAGCTTACTCATTTTTTAAGAGATTAACGTACCGTTCAAATACGTTAAACTGTCACGTTTGTTTTTAAATAAAATGAGACAATTATAGTCATCTCGATGAAAGATTGAAATGTTTGTAGACGATCGTTGAAAAAGAAATACTTGGCCTTTAATGATGAAACCGAATTATTTATGCGTAAAGATCGCGAGATAACAGTGTGAAATTCAAAAGGCATACGATTGTTAAATTGGTACGCTCGGAGCGTGTTCACATTGTCCCGTTCCACCGGCGCAAACAAAAATTTGTTAGCGGGCTCCGCCAAAACTCGTTGGGGACGATTTTGCCGGTTGAATGGAAGCGATTGGCGAGCATCGACGCGCCACTACACGATCGGAACCACAGCCACCAGCAATGCATCTTGCAACAGCGATCTGTTAACCCGCCGCAAACATCATACGCCTCCGTAGCGTCCCGTTCAATATACACTCCCGTCTATAACTCTGAAATCGTTTCTGCTTTAAAAAGAAAAAGATCCAACTTTATAGAGACCTAAATCTTCTAGTGGTTTGCATTCATTTCAAGTTGATAAGGAAATGGGAGTGCAGTCTTGTACAGATGGATAGAAGCAGAAAAATAAGTCTGCCAAATATTTTAAGACATGTAATAAAAAGCTGTGTCCAATAT